TTGCAGTGGCTAATATGAGAAAACGGGCTCATTTCTGCATTTGCGGAGGGTGGAGATTATTAAATTTAAAAAAATAAATAAATAAACATAAAATTAAAAAGTTGAATAATTCAAAATTTTCTTAAGTTTTTTATTTTTTATTATTATTATTCTTTCCACTTTACCAATCCTTCAACCACGGTTTTTTCCTTGTCTTCATCAATTTCTTCACCTTTGAAAAGTAATTAAAGAAGCAATTACATCACTAAAAAGAACATTAAATGGAGTACGTTTTCTGAAATTTGCTGGTCTCTAGGTTTAGAAATAGTATTTTAGAATCATAGGAAATTTTTCAACTTTGAAAAAAAGTAAAAACAATAAGATTCAAAGATTCAAAGAAAAAGTGAAATACATATTCCACTTTAGGTATCGTAGGTGTAATGATCGAATATTAAATTGTTAATCCCCACCCTACAAAAAAATTGTAGATTAATATTAGTTAAGATCTAAGAATTTTCTTTTCTTCTTTCTTCCTATCGTTTATGTCTATTTTTAACCTTAAATAACTAATTTTTCAGCTAAAATGTTAGATTTCCAAAATAAAATGCGTTCTTTTTTCCTTTATAGTTTCTTCAGATTTCTTCGTCATATTTCTTTATTTTGTTCTTACAAAATTTATTTTACTTTTCCTTCCTTTCTTTTTTCTTCTTTAATTTGTTCCTTTAATACATCATTATTTTTTCTTTTGTAATACAAACTTAACCAGTAGATTCTGCATTCGAATTGGAACCAAAAATGCCCAATTAACTTGGTCCGAACCTCAACAAACAACTGTTTTCGAGTTATTCCCCTTTTTCTGATGTTTTTCAGACTTCACGACCTTGTTTCAAATAAACAATGATAACTCCAAAACTAAAAGGTTTTGGACAAATCCGTTTATACCATTGAAAACTACGTTAAATTTTCAATAAAATGTGATCAATACTAAACTTAAAAAATTTCGTCAAATAAGAAATTAAGTAGCGAGAACTTTGAAAAATATTTTTATTTTTTGAAAAACTTCGTATGGTGATTCTAAGCCTCTATTTCCAAATCTAGAGACCAGCAAATTTCAGAAAACGTTCTCCATTTAATATGCTTTCTAGTGGTGCAATTGATTTTTCAATTATTTTTTTCAACTGAAGAAAAGAAGAAAACCGTGGTTGACCGATTGGTAAGGTGGAAAGAATAATAATAATAAAAAATAAAAAAATCTTAAAGAAATTTTGATTGAATTTATTGAAGTTTTTTAATTTGGGTTCGAAACCGAAATTTTGCAAGTGTTTATTTATTTATCAACACGAATGCAACTTTGATTAAAGGATTATTGTATTATTATGACCCGGAATAAATTTTCAAAAGATTCAAAACGTTTTTAGTTATCTATGTGATATCTTGTTAGCACTATGTTGTAATTTTAAAGTAAATGACGTTGAAAAACGTAAACTTAAATTAAACTTTCGAGTTGCACAGGCTAATATGAAAAAACGGACTCGTTTGTGCATTCGCGTAAGGTGGAGAGCATTTCGAATCAAAATTAAAAAGTTTAATAAATTCATTCAAAATTTCCTTAAGTTTTTTATTTTTTATTATTATTAATCTTTCCACCTTACCAATCTGTCAACGACGGTTTTTTCCTTCATCAATTTCCTCATCTGTGAAAAAAGTAATTAAAAACCAATTACATCACTAAAAAGGATATTAAATGGATTACAATTTCTGAAATTTGCTCGTCTCTAGGTTTGGAAATAGAGGCTTACGATCTCCACAGTAAGATTTCAACTTTGAAAATTTTTTTTTCAAAGTTCTTGCAACTAAACCGCTTATTTCCCTAATGTTTAGAACTTTAATACTGATCACAGCTTATTGCAAATTTAACGTAGTTTTCAATGATATCTACGGATTTGTCCAAAATATTTTAGTTTTGGTGTTACCATTGTTTATTTGAAGCAAGGCCATGAAATCTTAAAAAATAAGAAAATGGGGAATAACTCCGAAACTGTTGAGATTCGGACCATAGTTAATTAGGAATTTTTGGTACCATTTTGAATGCGGAATCTACGGGAAAAGTTTGTAACTCGAAAGAAAAAATAATAATGGATTAAGAGAAAAGAATTAAAGAAGACAGAAAGAAAAGAAGGAAAAGTAAAATAGATTTTGTAATAACAAAATAAAGAAATATGACAAGAAAACTCAAGAAACTAAAAAGGATAAAAACGAATTTTATTTTGGAAATCTAACATTTTAACTGAAAAATTAGTTATTTAAGGTTAAAAATAGGCATCAACGATAGGAAGAAAGGAAGAAAGAAAATACTTAGATCTTAACTAAAATTAATCTACCATTTTTTGTAGGGTGGGGATTAAAAATTTGGCCAGCATTTTGATGATACTGTCCCCTAAATTCTCTTTTTGCTCGGTAATAAGAAAATACAGAAAAAGGAAAAAATTAAGCGTAACTACGAAGTTTAACTTTTATATTGATAGATTTGTTTTATATTTATATGAAATTTTAAAAACATATTTAAAGGTGAAAGAAAACAGTATTTGACTGTATTCGGTTGTAGTCAACTATGTATTTTCTGTGTGGTAAAAGTATACAAAAAATTTGGTGTTGTGCGTCGTTTCGTGAACCGCCGCCATATATTTATCTGTTTTACGGCGGTATTTCAACTACGAGGCTATTTGACCCTCGAGATGTCGGTGTTTTTGAAAAAAAGCCCATTTGTAAGTTTGTCGGTTTCGAATACGGAGCCGCTGGGTTCGAACCCAGGACCTTTACCTTTCAGCGATGAGCGCCATGGCAACGCCTAAACTGTTGCAGCCACCGACGTCCTACCCTCCAGCCCAATAAATTTCCATTTTGAAAATTCTTCTATTGGACGACTGCAAATGTCAAAATCCGGGGGAGAAAAAAAACGAAAACGAGTTGCACAATCGATCAGCCGAATTCGGTTAGAAGTCAATGCCGAAACAGTAATTACTATGAGTATTATGGAAAAACATAGTGTTGATTCCAACCGATTTAACAAAAAAAAAAAAAAAAAAAAGAACAGAAAAAACTGATTTTTTGATAAGCATAATAAAAAGTTAATAATCAGGCCAAGGTGTTCGGAAGAACGGCTCGCTTAATGTTTTTTCAAATTGACCGTTCAAACTCGTGTCTCAAATTATGTTTTTTGAATTTTTTTTTCATCTTAAAATTTGTCTTACTACAGTTGCATTTCAAATCCTCTTTACAAAAATTTATTGTAATGGGGTTGAATGTTTAGAAAGTCGACAGTTCTGACCCGCTGCTTTCGATGTTCAACATTAGGAATTGTGTTATGTAATTTTATATTTGGCTATCCTCTGTTCCTTCTTCATCTCCGCGTATTATTCAATAAGGGCCGTTGCTTTCTCCCATGTAGAGGCCTTGTTTGATCGAATTCGATAAATTCTCTTGGATTATATAAAAAAATATAATTGTCACAGCTTATTGATTAATTGGTCCTGGTTTAATCAGCCATAAAATATATAATGTTTTGATAGTCGTTAAATATAAAAGTGATTGCTCCGTAAAGTAAGATTATCCCCTTGATTATAACACTTTTTTTATTACAAGCAGAATGAGCTATCAAAGAGTTACATTTGATTATATCTTTCACACAAAGGTATAAAATTAATAGTTTCTAATCCAGACCAAACTCGCCTTTAACCCTAACCTAACCTAACTTGTGATATCCTAGAAGGCTAGTCTCTGTTTGTGCCTCAGGTTTTCAAATACAGAATAGAAACAAAACATACAATACATATAACACACCACAAATATAGATGTCTGATCATATTCACTCCCCGTGAGTACTCGATATTCCTCGGAGCGGGGTTATCAGCAACCCCTTCCGTTCACGCTAATAAATTACTTTTACTCTCCAGACCTCATACACTCACCCCAGAGTACTCGATATTCCTCGGGCGGGGTTATAAGCAACCCCTTCCTGTCACGCTAATAAATTACTTTTACTCCCCAGACGTCATACACTCACCGTAGAGTACTCGATATTCCTCGGGACGGGGTTATAAGCAACCCCTTCCTTTCACGTTAATAAATTACTTTTACTCTCCAGACCTCATACACTCACCCCCAGAGTACTCGATATTCCTCGGGGCGGGGTTATAAGCAACCCCGTCCTTTCACGCTAATAAATTACTTTCACTCTCCAGATGACATACACTCATCCCAGAGTACTCGATATTCCTCGGGGCGGGGTATAAGCAACCTCTTCCTTTCACGTTAATAAATTACTTTCATTCTCCCGACATCATACACTCACCCCAGAGTACTCGATATTCCTCGGGGCCGGGTTATAAGCAACCCCTTCCTTTCACGCTAATAAATTACTTTCACTCTCCAGACCTCATATACTCACCCTAGGGTACTCGATATTCCTCGGGGCGGGGTTATAAGCAACCCCCTTTCACCATAATAAATTACATTCATTACAATAAATTACCATAAAATCAATCACAGACGCAACACAAACAACATAAAAAACTATACACATTTAAAGATCTCTACAGCCTGAAGTACTGGAACAGCGATCTGTGCCAGGTGCCGTGCCTCAAGATAAAGAAGCGATTTAGAAAACATTTTTTTTGTAATGATAGCTTTAAACATAGAGTATATGTACATAAAAGACGAGTCTTTCAAAAAGTGAAAGAGATGCCGAGTTGCAAGTTTATACAGACCAGTTACATCAGAACACTTGATTCGCAGCTTTCAAAAAATTATTTGTAGCACTTCGGAATCCCGGAATTTCATGGGACCAGTTTCATTCTGTACACAAAATGTTTTAGTTTATTATAAAGACTAATATCCTTAAAGAACTATCCTTAAGCTTCTGTTAGACTTTGCCTTTTGCACCATTCCTCTCTTTCCAGACCGACTGACATGAGTTATTCAATTCTGGCCGTTGTAAACAAGGAGGGCGGCGGTTTGGGAATACGGCAAAAGACTTTCTTGACTGTAGTAAGCATCGGGTCTGGGGGAACAAGGCTGGATTTCACTTTCAACAGGTTCTCCCGAGATCACTTTCTTCGGTTGGGTCCGCGGTGACGCTCTGTGTTTCCCCCTCTCGGCGTTAATCCCCCAACAGTCCGGCCACCGGAGGAGGGTTCCTTCCTCACGAGACTTCTTTTAATCGGTGACCAACATTTCAGTGCGACTAGTACTTGTGTCAGTTTTACACCGAAGAGGACAGGCACCGAAACAGATTAGATATGTGAGTGTTTTTTTAAAAATAAATATGAATAAATTTCTACCTGGGTTTTTTAGTTTTTTAAAACTTGTCTTTCACCTTTTGAGCCATCACGTAACATCCGATTTACTCTTACCTCTCGAAGAGTAACCCTCGACCAGTTTAGCATTCCGGACTTCCAACTTTCTGATCGCACCTTCCGATATTATGAAACAGCTTTTTTTTTGCTTTTACTGTATTGTGCAAATGTTATTTTTTGTCCTGTAATTGAATTCGTTATATAAAAAAATCCTTTCGGAAAAATCACTTACAAAAAAATCTATTGAATATACTATTGAAGATGTCAATAGTATTGACTGCTATCAAAATCAAGACTCAGCTTATTTTTAACAAAATTAAATTAATATTTAAACATTTTTATCTACCAAAACACTTTTATTATAGAATTTCAAGAAAAAAATTCTGATTTTTCTTTAAAAAAAAAAAACAGTAAAAATAATGTGTGGTGATTATTGACCGTTAATCGATAATTATTCAGAAATGGACCAGACCGCATCTCACGATTTCTGAATAAGTAAAAATAATAAAAGTCACAATTTTTTAGGCAATTTTCCATTCCAATCCAATAAAATTCGACAATATATTTTTCCTTTGCATAAAAACCTTATTGTTTAGACTGCTACGTGAATCTGGATTAATGTTGAATTTATAAACGAATCCCCCGCCCCCATTTCTTGCAGTTATCTGTGCTCGCCTCAAACTTCCACCCTCCTGGGCCTGTGAAAATGAGCTGGTCGAGTACTTTTCACTCCCATCGGGACTTAGCCTTATTCCTCCCAAAAACTTCCCGCCCACTTGTCCAAAATCTTTCTGGCGTTGCGGATTATTTTTAAGTAAGGCAAGTTTGCTTCGACGTGATTGTTTTAATACTGTTTAGGGGTAAAAAGTCTTGAATGCTCAAATGCACGACGATTATAAAACGAAGTAATATACAGATATGACTGAAATGTAGGACGACATAAACTAGAGAGAATAGACGAACCCAGATATGTAATGAAAGTCGATTAGTCCATTTCAAGTAATAAACTTCGTAAAAAAATATTAAATCTGTATTTATTATCATTTTAAGAATTATATCTATCATTGCAATAAAAAACGTCTTCAACCCTTATTTTTCTTAATCATCAAATTAAGGACAATTTTAATGTTATTCTCATAAAAATTCCAGTTTTAAAAATGTAAAATAGTTTGCCTGATCATGCTTAACTATTTATTTGAAAACTTCGGCAAAACCAATAGCAAATTTTTGCAAATCTTTCAAACTCCAACAAACACTTGTCTCTCTATATCGGACTTTAAAATATTTCAGGACCAAAACATGATTTTTAATTTTGTCTAGAAAAGAAAAATGAAAAATAAGGCAGAAAAAAATTACCAAAAAAATCTATTCGCATAAGTCCACAATATTCTTAGAAGCTGTCCAAATTATCAGTTAAAAGTATATATTATAAACATTATATTTAGTGGTCTTATTGACCAAATTACTTCTTTCAATTAATTATTCTTTGTATGTACGGTCTTGGTTGAAATGAAAAATTAGTGTCACGAGTGGGATTCGAACCCACGATCTTCGGCTCATACGCCGCTGCTCGAAACACTAATCACGATAGCTCAAGTGATTAGAGCAGCGGCGTATTGAGCCGTAGGTTGTGGGTTCGAATCCTGCTCACTAACTTTTTCATTTCAACCAAAACCTTACATACAAAGAATAATATATTATAACCTTGATTAATACAAATAATGAGACTATTTTGACGAATAGCATTATGGATGATTAGTCAAAAATTAGACGAAAAATGGCCCAGATTTCCAGACGGATACGTCTTTTTCCCCTCAAGATCCGTGGAAAGTTGTTGATAGCAACGGCCGGAGGACCATTGGCGTTCCCGTCAGTCCGGTCCGGCCTCCCGAAAGATACAATTCATGGTCGAGTAGAAAGTAAAAGTTCACCACCGATAGGTGGGCGTTGCCGAAATTTTTTGTCATTTTACAAGAAACAACTTCCTGTCGGTACTGTTTCGAGGTTCATTTTGTTGAAAAAGCAAGCAGGAGTAAAGCCAAACAACAAGTACATCTGATTTTATTATCATTTAAACAAGATGAAATTTTTCACATTGATCTTGACTATTACGCAAAACAAGCAGTCTATTTCTACTACAAAACACTGTCACACAAAATATCTATTTAATTAACTGATTTGATTTTACTGCTAAGTGCTAAGAAGTAACCATTAAAAGAAGCCCACTTGGTATTTAATAAGAAAAAAAACAAAAGATAAAACTTCCTCTGAATTGACTATTATCACAATAGTATCCTTAACTGCTACTACAAAAACACTGTCACACAAATCTAATTGACTGAGCAAATTATTACTACTAAGAAACAACCACCAGTTAAATCCTTATTAAAAGAGTTAATCTAGTTATGAATTGAAATGAAATAAAAAAGAATACAAAAAACATCCTCTTAATTGATATAGTTGATTTTTACTACTAAGACCCAACAGCCGACTAAATCCCCCTATTTATTCAAAAATATTAAACTACTAACGAATTGACTATTACAGTAAAAATAGTGTTCTGTTACAAAAAAACAGTCACAAGAGAATCCAAAAATTTTCATCTAAATTATTATTATCACTAAGACACAACCACGAACTAAATCCCACGTTGCATTAAAAAAAATATTAAACCACGACTGTATTTACTATTAAGACAAAAACAGTATTAACTATTACTACATAAACACTTTCACAAGAAAATACAAGAAAAATGCCGAACAAAAATACAAAAGCACTATTTATTTACTCGAGTAATTATTTTGTTATAGATTTTAGATTATTACTACTAAGACCAATGGCTATTATAACAAAAACACAAAAATATCCATCTAATTGACTGATTTGATTACTACTAATTACACCCAACCACCAACTAAAAACCTACATTGTATTAAAAAAAATTAAACTACTACTGAATTGACTATTATTATAAAGATAGTGTTAACTACTACTATATAAGGACTGTCACAAGAAAATACAACAGAATTGTCGAATAAAAATAAAAAAGCACCAATTAATTAACTAAGTTTTTAAATTTTTTATAGATTTTAGATTATTACTACTAAAACCCAACTACCAACTAAATCCAACTTTGCATTAAAAAAATTAAAGTGCCAACGAATTGACTATTACAACAAAAATAGTGTTAACTGTTACTACAAAAACACTGACATGCGTAAATACAAAAATATCATTTAATTCACTGAGTTGATTAGTACTACTAAGACTCAACCAACAAATAAAGCACATTTGGTATCTAAAAATTATTAAAACTGTAATGAATCACTACTGCTATGAAAATAGTGGTAACTGCTACAAAAATCTCTGATTATTTACTTGAACTATCTACTAAAGCAAGAATTGACTGTTACTGCAAAGTTCTACTACAATTACCTTTTTGTCATATTACAGGCCCATAAGCAGAAAAGAGAATTTATATTACTTATTCTCTGGTGGAAAACGTATCTTACTGCAATAAACATAAAGCTGTTGGGCTGGATAATCTAAACCTGCTTAGAGTTTCTGAGCCGCTCACGTTTTGCTGGAGAGTTCTTAATGGTGTACTTGATGCTCCTAAGGTGGTCTTCTCCTCATTGAACGTTGCGGGTCGGAACTTAAGAAACTTAACCCCTTTCATTTATCTTTTCATAGAACTAGTTATGAGTATTACGCTTGTATTCATCGCCTAGCTCGTTTTCTCAATGACACGAGGCGATCCATTCTTTCACTTTGAGTATTGCCACTAAGACATAACCTCCAACTAAAGCTTACGTGATATTTTTTTTTAAAGTAAGTATATCGGGTTCAAATGTAGGTTCGCTGGATTCGAACCCGGGAACTTTACCTTACAGTGATGAGCGCCGTGTCAACGCCGAAACCGTTGCGGCCACCGACGCCCCCTTCCGTGCTATTAAAATATATATTATACACCACTGATTGACTGATTTTTATTACAAAGACACAGTCAATATAGGAACCAATTAACCTAAAATTGACTAATATTGAAAAAACTATATGACAAAAAAAAAGATATAACTATACTTGTTTTTATTAAAGAAACAATATTTCGTTATTTTACAAAAAGAATTGTACAACTTAAAAGCACAAATAAATATCCTGACTTAACAATTTATTCTAACAAAATCGAGTCCTTATTATCTTTGACTTGAATTGACTATTACTAAAAAAGACTTATTTACCACTAGTAGATAGAAATTTAGTCTCACTGAATTGACTGGAAAAGCCCACTTGTATTAGAACAAATTAAACTACCTCGGAATTAACTACTACTACAAAGATATTGGCAACATCAACAAAAACACTGTCACACGAAAGTACAAAACTTTCCATCTAATTGACTGATTTGATTACTACTAGACTCTACCACCAAGTAATAAAATAAAAAAATTAAACTACCACTGAATTGACTATTACAAAAACACCGCCACACGACGAAAAAAAATTGCCATCTAATTAATAAAGATGATTATTACTACTAAAACACAACCTACGTGCAATTTAAATCGATACTAAACTACTATAACTTTATCTACTCACTTAATTACCAAACAGACACTAATTTATTCAAAAATTGACAAATATTTTTAAGGTATGAACTATTTACCAGTAAGTTTTATTACTACAAAAACAACACTCGAAGAAAAATGGGATACATTAGTATTTTTCGATGTCAATGTTGTGTCTTTAGACTTGTCTTTTTCCCTTCTATGAAATAAAAATAATTTGAACATTTTTCTAAGGTGTGATGTTTAGTGACCGTTACTTGATGATTATTTGGAGGTCGTGAGATGCGGTCTGGTGTGACGTAGGTTTTAGAAAAAAATTTTCTTTATCGTGCCAACGTTTCGATCATTATTGAGATCGTCTTCGGGACTCTAAGGGT